TTTTGGAATCTATTATATATTAAATTGAAAACTCGATGATGAATATTTGATCCCTATAGTTGAGTTGTCTATGTGTGAAGAAAAACAAGTCAGGAAAGCAAAAAGAACACAGTGCGCATGGGAAATTAAGGATTAAAAAGGGGTAGAGAACGTCGTGTAGGCAAGCGCTGGCCAATCCTAGGGAATCAAGGCTCTGGGGGAGGAAGTAATTGTAGGAGAGACTCGTGAGGGTGGAGTGAGATCGGGTGTTCTGCTTTGATGAGCTAAAGAGTGGTGTCTGGTTGCATTCATCAACTATCTGCTGATAGGTGCTTATACTAAGAAATATGACTCTATCTATATACTGGCTTATTTCTACGTATATGTATATGCATGCGATAACATTCCAATATCTCCTGGTTGTTGATAGGCATTGCCCGCTTCTTCGCAACAGAAAAGGTAGAGAGAGCGATATATAAATATAAAGGAAAGAAAAATGCAAAACACAGGAACAAAGAAAAGGAGCGGAGTTAAAAAAACAATGGGAGAGAAGGAGAGATGGAGCTACTAGAATATTCCTTCCACTTGGTTTGCTCCCTCTGTCCTCTTGCTTCATACCGGCTGGTAGTAGCTCAGGAGACTCTTATCAGACACACTGACAACGTCTTCTTCCGAGGAGGCTGCTCTTCTCAGCTCAGCAAGTGGTTGAGTGTTGAGCTGAACTCCATCGTACCGTAAGAAAAATTAAAATATATAAGAAACAGTTCATAAAGAATACACTGGTGCAATATTTACTCTCTGGGTAATTCGTTTGTGAATGTCTGTTTGGAATAGATAAATCAACCGGCTACTTTCCCATTGGCACCGAGTCTACAGCTCGCCTCTCAAGTCGGCAAGGCTACCTGTATTTTGGCGCGCCTGGGTTTAGACAAAAGACTCAATCCGTCATACTCACTGGGATGGATCCGAAGGTTTCGTCGGTTTTAAAGAGCCATAAAGGTTGTTTGGTTTATCCTTATTCTGGGGTCCGAGAGGCCGGAATTCAACTTCTTCCCCGACCTATTAGATCAAACGAATCTGACCTGGACCAGTCATACCGGACTCCAGGTAAAGCTTCAGAGTCTAGTTCAACCAGCCCGGCTATCTCGAGACAGAAAGACGCATCTCATCAATCATTCACCAGTCAAAACTCATCTGTGACCCAACCACATTCGAGGCCTTTCACACCACATCCATCAGTTGGCAACACTAATGTTCTTTCTCCTCAGCCCCCTGTGAATTCTAAGAGTTATCCTCAATTTGGGCGTAAGGAGTTGCAAGAGGTGGTTGCTCATGGGGAAAAGAACATCGACAGGACAGATCTTATCACGGCTTTGCAGGCTGGATGGAATGTAACAAACGCAATTCAGGTTGGTGTATACAACTATGACCTTAATAAAACATTGTTTTAATATTTCTTTATGGGGGAAATTGATTCACGGCCTTTATCTGGGGAGCGGAGGACTAGCCCATTAGTTGACGGTTATACGACTTAATCAACTCAAAGGCACTATTTTCTCTAGCAATATAGATTCTACATTTTCCCTATTTTTTGCGATGACGTATACACCACGTTACCAAAAAGACTTATATCCTACTTATCCTTTTTTTAACTAGAATTACCTCTCAACTCTGACGAATTTGTCAGCAGGTTGCTGATTCG